TGGGAAGAATCTCAGACGTGTCATGCTTGGTAGCATTTCTTTATTAAATTAGTATTTCGGCAGAAGTTGCTTACAATTGACACCTGTCAGACTTTGGCTGTAATGTGAGCCCAAGCACGGGGGGCTGAGGTGAGGAGGAACAAAACATACAACCATGATGTGAAATGTTGTGTTTGCCAGAATTTGACCATGACAGTGGAGAAATGGAAAGGGTATGCTGGTTAGAGAGGGAATTAGCACAGCAACATGGAAGGGAAAATTAGCCTTTTACAAGTATGTTTTATGGAATAAATGTTCATTTCCTTGCTATTTACAATATATTTTATATTTTATTTCTGCAGGGGAATATTTTTCTTTTCATAATTAGAATCATAATTTTTTCCATTGTGTGCTCTGAAGAGAATTTACAGGTAATCTCCTTGAGTGTAAAGAACTGTGTCATATCCATCTTTACAGCCCCAGAAATCTTGCAACAATACCTAGGTTATAGTATTAGCCTCATTCAAGTCAACCAAGTTACTAAATATTACAAAATCCACATTAGAAAGACAAGGATTTTAAAAAAATTATCTCCAAGTTTCGAAGTTCTTAAAATACTTTTGCCAGTTTTTAGCAGTTCACATAATCAGAAATAGCAACCCAAGATCTACAATGTGTTGCCATGTAAACCTTTCTTGTTCTATCCAATATGTATATGAAGCAAATGTCTTAATTATGGACATATTTAGTAATGTTATATGAAAATAATTTGTACTTGAATTTTTTTCATTAAATAAAAACCATATGTCAACTGATTTTCTACACCAAAGTCATCATAACAACAATTATCTGGATAATTCATAGAAAAGCAAGGCTTTTTTATACAAACAATAGACATAAGTTTAATTTGACTTGTTGTTGTACATATCCAACAATAACTTATTAAAGAATTATCTTAAAATTGTTTATAAATATATAAATTGTATAAATAAGTCCTGTGCTTCCTTTTATCTCATGAAATAAAAATATACTTATTGTATCTATGCTGTGTATCTTAGATACATTTTATTTCTATAAACATTATCACACAACTTCCTTTAAGATGATATTAAAATTTAACTGTGGATTCTGCCACATGTACAGCAGGATAATACATTTACAATTATTTTGATAGTTAAAACATGGTTTTACTTTCATCAGACTTATTTATCTTTCCGAATCTAACAAAGATCTAAACAACACAAAAATAGTTAAAAAAAAAGAGTAATAGAAAATATTCATAGCATTGTCTTTATAATATGACTGAAAGACTTAGAGAGAAAAGCAGGGGTTAAAAATTATTCTTTAACCACCCACACACCTCTGAATTTTGAGAGGAGGCACCTCTAATACTTTTTCTTCCTGCAGTATTTGTTGCTTAAGGAAGTCTGTGGGTGGATAAGAAGTTATTATCCCTCCTACACACACCCGTTTTCTTATTTACAACAGTAAACTTCCATATATAAGTACTTGAAACACCAATCATTTTCTTTCTATCACTTTCTCCAATTCTTTGGAATTTGGACCACATATTACCTCCCAATAGCACACTTCACAGTTAGAGTTTGTCTTTAATTTTTTTAAATCAGGTGTGAATCTATCCAAAAAATTTATTTGATGTAGATGCCTTTCAAAACAAACATTTTTGTTCAAAAACAGAGTTCCATAAATGGCGGGTTCTATGTTCAAAACTAATAATACAAAATTATCTTTTGTATTAATGAGTTTTCTTAAACACCAAAAGAAGAGGATACAGTCACTGAAATGGGACAGCCAAACATTAAGATTTGTATGAAGTGTTTGTATCTTATTACTCTACAAATCACCTTTAGGAGAGAATGCATCTTTGTGGATCATGTTGGAAACACAGTAAACATGTTTTATCTCAATACAGTTAACCATTTGAATTGTTTCAGCTGAGTAAATAGGTCAATAGTTAAAGATTTTAGAACTCCCTATAAAATGTACAATAACAAGTTAAAATACATTTTATAAAACCTCTATGTCCCTTTCATGTTGTAGTAAAAAGTTCTCTCAAATGCAGTAAATGACAGGTATACCCTTATGCAAATGGGTTAAGCTTAAATTATTTTTAGAATAATCAGGTCTAATATTCATTACTAATGTAATATTCATTCATGTTAAAATATAGGACAATTTTTCAAAAGTAATAGTTGATATATTTTTACATGATTTTAGATTTGTAGGTTTAATGATATCATTTATGATAGTCACACATGATAAATGTTTTGCAAGTAAATTTCTTCACTTCACCCTTTTGTTCAATGTACTCCACTTTGGAATTGTGTTAACTTTTGCTAAAATAAGAGATTAGAAAATAACTATTAACCATCCAAAGTGCTTGCCAAGTAAACCCATTATTAATTAAATACACATTACTGAGAATATGTTATATAGAGATTAGTTAGAACAATCACTAGTTACAATTGTTGGATTAGCCAAACAATCACAAGTCATTCAATCACTTTTGCTTTATTCAAAAATAAAGCTGATTCTGGCCTCTCAATACCTTGGTAATACGAACTCTACAAAAATACAGGGAAAAGTCTATCATCTATGTAAGAGAGATAGCAAGTCACATAAATCTTACGATTACAACCCAATGGATATATGAACTGAATTTGTGCATGTCATTCTAAACTAGGTTTTTAGGTTTTAGTTACTAAGTGTTTTTAGCATCCCTTAATAAAGAATTTAAAGAAAATTAAAACTAATAGTCTTACAGAGCAAAGTAACATGTAGACTAGAAAATCAAGTAGTTCTGTTAAGAAAAGCCTGAACAGTCTCTAATTTTAAACATTGTATGCAGTTAGGAGCAAATAGTCATCACCACAATTTTCAGAACTGCCATTATTTAAAATAATAAGCTCAGAATTAAATGTGTTATATGCTTTTTTTTCTAAAGCAAACATTGGAAGTTGTTTTTGTTTTCTCCAAGTTACTATAAAGCACCTATAACTGAAAGGAAGAGTGATTAGAAACAGAAAAAGACAAAGAAAATAAAAAAGTGGTTTCTAAGAGATGTTTCACTCATATGGTATAAAATAAGTTATACATGTCATATTCATGAGATTAACATTATTTCCTGAAAAAAATGTCTGATTCAGATCACAAGACAACATAATGAACCAAAGATTTTAATATAAAATGCAACAAGGAAGAGTGAGTTTGACTTCACTTTCACTTGCATATGCTAACAACAATGAATGAAAACTAGAAACTAGTATGTGAAACAAAACTCACATCTTATTGTTAGAAAAATAAAGATATGATGTATAGTATGATAGGACAGTCAAGCAGAAAAACGTATATGATGATGCTTTAACAGAAAGAGAAATGAAGATATTCTTGGTATGATTTTTTTTCTTTTTTTGTTTTTAAAGATGCTAGAAAATTAACAAGACTGGTGGGTAAACAGTGGAACAGTTCAGTCTCAGCACAATATTTGCAAAATTAGGTAGTCTACATATAAAACTAAACAGCTAGAAAATATACACAATTTTGCATAGAAACTATTTCCTTACAAAAGAAACATTTAAAAAAATTGATTTCTTATTAATAATATTCTCATGGTAAAACATCTACTAAAGGAACTGCCTTTTTTCTCTGTCTTTTTTTTTTTCTTTAAGATTTAATATGTTCTTCTAAGGTCTTATTTTCAAAACCTCTAGGGAAACTCCCTTGGGAATACTATATTAATCAGCTAAGAAAAACTTTATTAGAAGTAGAGAAAGACTGTCCAGACATCAAAGGACTGTCCAACATCATGTGACATTGAAACATATTCTATGCTTGAGTCTTGACTGTTGTACGGTTTTAGTCTTTAGGAAAAAAATTGTGCTTCAATCTGCTGCTGTTCAGTTTTAGTCTTTACAAAAAAAATTGTGCTCCAATATGCTGCTCTAATTATGTTCTGTGGGTATTGCTTATTTGAACTAATTAAGCTTTTCATTACATAAGGAAACTTGATAAATCTTTCAAGTGTTTCCTGAACTAGATAAAGGGTGCATTAAATATCTGCCACCCTGCACCCAAGGCCTTCTTTTACTTATCTTTTATCAAATTCTGTATTTAAAAACTGAAATCAACTTGGAATAGCACATTTAATTATTTTACACAACCGAAGCAAGTTCTTGAGAGAATGTTTTTCATTTGTTTTGTTTTTCTTAATCTTGAAATTATACATAGGTTGTGTTTTGTTTTGCTTTGTGTGTATAAAAGTCTAATTTTGTTTGAATTTCATTGGGAAAAGTATTTGGGACATTTATGATTTAGTTTCAATCTACAGGTAAAATCTTCATTTGGTAGTAAGTACATTAGATCAAACTTTTAAAGTTTCTCTCTCTCTCTTTCTTATATACTTCCCTAAACAAAACTAAATAATGGGAACATACATCATACTTTAGTAAAAATAACTATAGATTTAATCAAGGAAGCAAAGATAATATTATACTTTCATTGGACTTAATTTTATCTTTTTCATTTTTATGAACTAAAGTTCCTTCAGTTTTAAATTATAAATCCGATAATTAAAACCTTGTCTATATGGTAGGTTATGTATGTCTTATTAGTACTTAGTAATTGAGAGCAGTGTCTTATAGTTAAAAATCCAATATTTAAATGATTTCCTCATGAATTCTTTCTTCCCTGCCAAATATGCTTGCATGCTTCTCTTCAGAAGTTTTTACATTATGCCTATCCATATCAAAAATAACTTACAAACAAACAAACAAATGAACAAAGAAGATTAACTGGAGATAGAGTATGATTCATAAGTATGCCAAATAATTTGCATGGCATATACATGTTACTTTATATGGAGATAATTTTTTATGTTTTCATCTTTCCTAAAATGCAAAATATGAATTTGCCTTAAATATCTGAAATGGAATATACATAAATAAATATACATAATAATATCCACCAGTAAATCTTCAAATATATAAAAAAGCAACTCCTACCTCCATCTCCAGATCCTGATCCTGCATCTGTGGGGGGAAAAATTATATTTGCTAGTAAAACATATTCAGAATTACTTATGACTTTTTAAGCTCAAGTTTCCTTTCTTAGTTTAATACTGCAATAATATTGTTTGAGAAAAATACTAATATTTAATCCAAAAATATACATTCACATCAATTTAATTTAATATCTATTAATGTAACTTCTAAAATAAATTATCCATCATTTTTATTCCAAAGCTTTATGAAAACATTATTGCCCAGTTTGGAAAATTTCCTAATCTCGACTATGAAAAATTCCTAATCTTGACAGGCTGGATTTGGTGCCCTTAGCAAAATAAAGTATTAAAAATGAGATGCTTGTAACAATCAGTAAGTTTCAGAAATTAAATAGTCTAATGTCTGTGGCAAATAAACCCATAATTAAGGCTTATATTCTTGCAAATTGCATATGAACAAAGAGAAAAGCAGTTTAAAAAGAAATATTTTTATATGGGTGTTGATAAGTTTTATGAATACCACAATTGTAGATGATTCCATCTGTGACAAATCATCCTTTGTTTTTGACATCAGTAGAAGAGAGCTTGATTTTTGCCTTTGTGCTTGAAGTCCGATATTCACTAAATGATTCTTGCAGAAAAAAATCATACCTCCTCTTCTGGATTTTTCTTTCACTATTTCTTCTCTCCCCTTCCTCCCATTAATTACAATTGGTCAATGCTGTTTATTTCTGAGAAAGTAGTTCCCAGAAACATGCAAAATTTCAAGTTGAAATCAAAACCACTGAGGTTCCATCTGCTTCTACTTCTTAAGTATAGATATCATCTTCCTTCTGCCTTTCCATTTTTGTTCGTCCACAATACATTTGGTTATGTATTTTAATGTTAATACAGGGAAATAAGATTAATATTGATATTCTCTGCCTGATGTGCCCTTATCCCACAGTGAAATCTCACCCAGGGTTCAAGACTTACACCAAATGCCACTCTTAAGAATTTATGGTTTTAGTCCAATTAAAATAAAACATGACTTTTACTTGTTTGCTTCCATGATACTTTATTGAGAAACACCACATAGAAAGAGGCATGGTATATGAAAATCCACAGAAGGCTGACATATATTGAAGAAGGAAGGCCTTCCCAGCAGCCCTCCTTTTTTATCATGTATTGGCATTAGCAGTACCATGAAGGAGCAGTAGTTTGAATTGTCAGTCTTGTCGGAGACCCACATTAACTAAATTTATACAGTCTAGCACTACTTGACTATTAGAATGTCAAGTAATCAATTAACTATTAATGTGACAAGACATATGTCTTTGGGGCAACATATCTTTTCCTTAAAGGCAAGTAAATTGGTAAAATAATTTATGATAAAATTTATTCTTAGTAAATGTAGAATCAAATGTGGATTTTAATCATAAGAATTGACTGTTTAATGATAATAGATCAAGAAAGACTGATGAATTCATGCTGATATTAGAATATTCCTACCAACTGAACTGACTGTTATAAGTCACAACATCATCTCTTTTGGACAGAACAGTGCTTGAGTGCTTAATGTTTGTCAAGTTTCCTTTTTGTATACTTTCACAGACAAAAATTTTAATTGATTGTATTTGCATTAATTTGAAAGCTTAATTCAGTATTATACTCATTCAGAGCTAAATAACAGGTTGTGGTATTATAGTGATAACACATTCTAAATATATTTTAGTTAAATGTATATAGTTTATTTTAAATTTTCCCCTATAAACTTCTTTCAGTCAAGGAAAATGTGTTGTTCATCACTCTACACTTATATGAACATAAGGAGAAATGCATAAAGGCTTAGGAGTTCCAAGCTCCAAACCTTACTCATTGCATAATAGAGAAATATTATTCAACCTTGCTAAGCATATTCCTCCTCTATTCAACGGGTATAGTAATATCTATCCAATTGGGCTATTTTGAGGCTTACCGCACAGTAGTATATTTTAAATGTTTAAGCACTGTCTGGAACATAATAATTAAAATGTAGAGTAAACATCTTGCCTATTTATCTACGGGTATTCTAATAAATACATGAGATTGGGGAAAAACAGAAAACATTGCCGATAGTATTTTATCTTGTATTTCCCACATGCATTTCTAAAACTTCAAGGGGCATGGTTCTTAAGACAATATTTGATTTGACACAAATGAAACAGCCAGGGAAGAAAAGAAGGAATAGATTAGAAAAATGATCACTTGAGTCGGTGGCATCATTATGAAATCGTTATGGGAAGCTTTAAGGTTTTCTCTATTATATGATGAGTCATCTTGGCCAACTGATGATAAGTAGCCTACTAAAGTCTTATTAGTGAGACAGAAACACCTAAGAAAATAAGTCACGCTGTTAGACCTAAATCTGAGCTCCTAGTTAATGCATTTCTTACAAGGCAAAAAGTTAAATTGACAGTAAGACCATTGAGAAGATTTCCCAATAAGAATCCATTCTCTGGACAAAAAAATAAAGTTCAATGAAATATAATAAATATAAAGTTATATCTTCTACTGCCTATTATTCCTAGAGCTTACAACTTGCCACTTTCATTCAATGTCAAACAGCATTAAAAAATAAATGGGAAATATACAAAGAAAAGAATGAGAATCCCTTTTAGATCAAAAGTCAGAACCCCAATTTATTTACAGTCAGATCTGGTTAATGAAAATTACTTTGTTCTCTCCGTCATTATTCAGATCAAAAACCTTTTAGATTTACAAGTCCATGGAAGATGCATTCAGCAAGACTGGCTTACTAATTAAATCTTGTAGAAATCTAAGTATGTGAATGAGCTAAAGATGGATTACTCGATTGTGATTAAATTTTCTACTTGGCTAAGTATTTATTTTCATAGTATAACCAGCACATCAGGGACTAGAATGGAAAGACTTGAATGAATCAGGAGAATGTGATTATATGCACTGACAAGAACTTGGAGGTTGGCAAGTAAGAAAGAAAGATTTTGCTACATCGGCCATAACCGTAACTTCTGATCTGTATATTATAATAATTGCCTGCCAATTCTCATGTGGTTATTGTTAGAAAAGAACAGATATTCTCAATGATCTTGAAAAAGTAAATCCTTTCCTCAATACTCTATGGTATTTGCCTTCATCTTTCCTGGTTCCTGGGATTCTACTTTTTTTCTATTCAGTTTGTCCTAAAGTATTATTTCTCATTTCTTTGGTATGGCTGATTGATTCCTCATAATTCGTTTGCTCTTTGTCATACTTTCTATATCCCTCATCCTTAGCATGAGAGCAGCATGCTGGTCATCCTCCTTTCCTACTAGAGAAGGCTGCCCATTGACTCTCACATATTGCTGTACCTTTTATTCATGACTTGTCACTCACAGACCAAGCAGCAATGACCTGCTTGCTTTAGCAAATAAGCAAATGCAGTACCAGCTCAGCTTGCCTCCTGACCATCCTTTCATGAAGAACATTCACATCTAAGCAGATAATCCCTTACGAGAAAAGACTGCTAGAAACCAAAACCAAAACAAAATATCATTGGCCATGAGATACGATACTATTCTCTTTCTTCTGCTAATTCTCAGAAACTTGGGTAGTCACCAGTATAACTTTACTAACAATCAATACGCTTAAGACAATCTTTTAAAGAATATGAGGCTTTTCTCTTTGCTCATTTTCCACCCTGCCCCAGCCACTTAGCACATAACTTTTAACATCATACTCTAGATTAGAAATACCTGTTATCTAAGAGGGACTTTTGAACAAAATAGACTTTTCATGACGCTATTCTCTGCTCCTATTTTTGAAGAAAGTTTATATTTGATATCATTGTTATTATTCCTGAATATGCTCATATCATCTAAATTCTCAGGAATTATGACTTCCCAGAAAGATGCTTATTTGCCATTAAGAACAACTACCATGGCATCTTAAAGTCTCTATAACGCATGTGACTTTGATATCAAGCTTAACTTGAAAACTCAGGCCCATTTTAAAGCACTTCCCATTTTTAAAGCATAAGCTCTAACAACTACTATAGATAGAAGGAAAACTTGAAACACTATAGAGCATATGAAGTCTCTCTTTCTTCTTACTTCCTTTATAGCATTGTTGGTAAACTTGACTGAAAAACTTTGTAGAATTCCAGGTTAATTGAGTCAGAAATGACACATGTCATTAGAAATTATGTCTACTACAAACACATTTGTCAATATAATCTACTAAATAATAAGACCATTTTGTAGAGCTAAGATTAGATGTCAACTTCAGAGCCCAAATCTGCAAAATTGCCTTCCAGCAGATAATGCTATTGTTCAAAACAAACACACACACAAATAAATACTATAACTTTATCCATACATAGTCAGGTTTCTCCATATTTGGCATGTTGGCAGTCAATCTAGATTTCTAATTATATGTGACTTTTATTCAAACTGCCTGTATTTCATTGAATAACATATGTCCTTAAATCTACCACTGTCCTTATGGTAGATACCCTCTTTCTTCCAAAAGTGACTTGAAATGTAAAAATGACAAAGAATAAGAATAATAAATGCTTTGAATAAAACAATACGGCCTTGTCTAGTCAATATATAATCTGAATTATTTATTGGGAGATGACATAACAAGAAATGAAAGACATAGTTTTTGGATTTGGAATCCAGGCAGAAGGTTTCAAAGAAGATCACACACATACCTGTGGCACATGATCCTTCTGACACCACAAGTATCTCACTCTGCTGTTTGCATGCAGCCTGTCGCAGGTAACACTCATTCTGGTAGCTCTCCCCATTGGAGCCACACACAGGCACATAGTCATTGTTGCACTGGGAAATACACAGATGTAAGCCTATAGTTAGTACTGGAGACTGCATCCCTCTGACATGATGAACAGAAGTAATAATTTGCAAAAGAAACCACTTGTCTTCATTTTCAATGATTCTAATTGTGTCCAATGAGTCTTTATAAGGGCATCATTGAAAGATTCACAAAACCAATTTCAAGTTAGCCAACCAGTCATTTGACTTAGTTAGATAGGGCAAAAATAAGCATCTAAATTGATCAGGCAATTCCAACAAAGTGACTGCACAAGTAGCACAACAAAGATATAGCAACAAACATATTAATACTACTTATTATTATTTTTAGTATGTAGCCCATATGACTTGATGGAAAAAATTAAAATACAGTTTAATTTCAAGCTATTCAAAAACAAGTAATGTCTATCTGTGTTAGGAGTGGAAGTATATGGCCAAAATGCCAAAGAAATCAATTAACTCTTAGTTGTTTTTTTAATTGAATTTAATTGAATTTTTATTGAATTCTAGTCTTTGTAAATTTCTAAATATTCAGATAAGACACTGACTTATTTATTTTTATACCTCTTTAGACTATTGTATATTGATATGGATACGGTCTAGAGAGAAACAAAATTATGGAACACAGAGAAAAATTTCAACAACTACTGAACTGTAAGTAAACTTTACTGACTATTCCAAAGTATGTCTATTAATAGATATTCCATAAAGAGAAAAGTTCATTTTTAAAAGAACCTCATTATTAAAAAAGTACATATATTACAGTGAAAATTAAGGCAACCTACAGAGTATAGTCATCATAATATAATCATACTCTAAGGCATTAATGATACTTGGCTTTGTCCTATGCCTGCTAATTACAACAGGGATGTGATTATCTCATGATTACTACTACTGATGTGCTTCATTGTTTAATTATAAACAATATAATGATCAAGATTATTATCTTTATATGCTCACCTATGCCAGAAACTAAGAAAGGAAAATCATACTTACAGATGCATGTAAAAACTCTTCTCTATGTTTTACTTTTATCTAATATATTTGAATCTTTGATGTTCTGTGAGTTCAGAATACATACAAAATAAACCAATAATACAGTGATATGGGTAGGAAAGTTTAAATATATATGATAACAAACCTAAAACCCTATCATAAATAAACTTCAACTCAAGAATTTATGCAAAAGAAAACACCTCTCAACATGTTGATAATCCGATTGGTTAAAACCTGAAATTTATTATTTTACTCTATTTCCTTACAATACCTAAACTTCCTTATTCCTAACCAACTATTTAACTCTTGCTCTTTGTCTTTATAAAATAATAGCTTAAGTGTCATAACAAATTTAAATGTCAATGTTCTTTGAAATGAAAGCCTAATTTTATGAGTTTTATTTTTTTATATATTATTAAGAACTTAAATATAATGTTTTGGTAACTGTGATCAACTTTTTTCCAAATAGTAAACCCAAATGGGATGACAGTCATATTAAGATGACCATAATTACTAACAGGATGCTTTAGCACATATTTTAAAAATATTCTTTATCTTAATTTCTACAACATATAATCTAGACATTCTGCAAGTCCTCTATATAGTAATTCTTTTCCACAGTTACATTATTGTCTCCCAGACTCAGTTTATGTATGTGATTATATTTAAAAAACTGTTTTGATGGCTCACACCTGTAATCCCAGCACTTTGGGAGGCCAAGGCAGGTGGATCATGAGGTCAGGAGATCAAGACCATCCTGGCTCAAACGGTGAAACCCTGTCTCTACTAAAAATACAAAAAATTAGCCAGGCGTGGTGGCGGGCTCCTGTAGTCCCAGCTACCTCAGGAGGTTGAGGCAGGAGAATGGCGTGAACCTGGGAGGTGGAGCTTGCAATGAGCCGAGATTGAGCTACTGCACTCCAACCTGGGCGACAGAGCAAGATTCTGTTAAAAAACAAAACAAAACAAAACAAAAACTGATTTGATTAGAACTTTTCACTAATCTTTTGCTAATGTTTAACTCAATCAGCAACTGACTTCTGATTAGACGATACCTGTGTAAGCACTGTTTTCCAGGAGCTTTCCAAAAATTTGTTTTAATTTACATCTGAAAACTGACTCACCACAGGTCTGAGCATCTGCACTACTATTCAAGAAAGAAGGCAAGAGCAAAATGCCTGTGAAGATTTGAATTTTCCAATGAGCAGTACTGAAAAAACAAATAAATGGGGCTTGTGCTCATGCCAGAACTCTGGCCAGCAAGGAAAGTGCAGGGATAGGTGCTTGATAAATGTGCTATGATCAGAACCTGAGATAGGAGAATGTAGGTAGGATTATGTTGATCTATGAACACTACAATGGTGTCTGAGCACATGGAGGAGAGACCAGAAAGAAGGAAACAGCTGGTGACATTATGATCGCTAGACTTGCTGATCCTTTCAGTAGACAGAAGAGAGTCATAATATGTCTATGACTAGCTGGACTAACATCTAATGCTTGAGGCCTGGCATTCTTGCCCCAGACTACTTTTCAATCTCCATCTCCATCCCTGCTTATAATACTTTGCGTGTAGATTATTTGGGTCCTTGTTTTCTTCTCTCCAATCCTTAAATTTTATTTATTTGTCCTTCTCAGATTACACAAATATAGAGTCAGTGGACTGGGAGTGGGGAGTGGAAAGTATTTATTATCTCTCCCAACTGCTAGTACACAATGCTGATATGCATCTTAAAATATCGAATAAACTGATAAAGTGCTCATATGCCGCTTCTGAGGGATGCAGTAAGCCAAATTCGAACAGTTCTAAAAACAGAGCTGCCAAGTTCCACGCACAAGCCAAAAGGGAGATTTCTACAGAGCTGAAAAGAGCTTAACTGTAGATTACTGGCATGATGTTTTTGGCCCTTAGTATAAAGACTTGCACTCATTAATATGAAGAATACAAGGAGGACGCACATCCTAAATCATGAAAGCTCATGAGTGGGAGTCTAGTCCTAGGTCCTCCTATTTCTTTCACTGCCTTGGTATAGGACTTTTTGAATGTTAGTCAACAATGAAATATTTAACAGCTTTATAGCCTAGTTTTCCCACTTGAAATGCTTACCTGGAACACTTGGGAAATTAACAAAGTCATGTTTTTAAAACGAGAAACATCTTGTAATACTTACACAAAGAAATGTAAATTATTTGCTTTGTATGATATGTATTTTAACTCTAACATCAAACCATGGCATTTCTAGAACTAGAAAAACAAGAGGAAACAGGCTAACCCTAAGCATGAAATACGCTAACTACTGCATTAAAATATGCCAAATTATTGGAAATAGTTTTTAGTAGTATTCATGATACTGTTCAGTTTCAGATGAAGAGACAGATTCAGATGTTAAGTGACTTGCTAAAGGCCATACAGTTGCCTGGTAAGAGGAAAAACAAGACTCAAGTTCAGATGGTTAGGTTCATAAATGTATGTGTTATACAAACTTCTTTCTCAGGGGAAAAAGTGATTCTATTTTTCTATGTTTTAAAATCTTATGTTTATTTTTCAAACAAGTGTTTTTCAATAGAAGAATTTTGTTCCAAAATGGGCTAACCCCCACACTAGTGGAGCCAATAACTTGACACACTAGAATGCATGAAATTCATTTTTGCTACAAATTAATAAAAATTATGTGAGAAGTTTTTCATAGGATTTATTGCTTATTTGATTAATATAGGTTTTTTTGAGCTGAGATTTCAGCATCTAGAAGCTTATGTATGACTTATGTTTTATATATTGCCAGCCCCTTCCACAGAGTCTGGCATGGAGAAGGTGCTCAACAGATGTTAAGTCAATTCTGTTATATTCCCAGTTGTCAAAGGCTTAAGAAGAATGGCTTGGGATATGGTATATTTTTCTTCCAAAAAGGAAAAAAGATTTTAAAAATCTGCATATGTTCCAATCCTTTGGCCATTCCATAAGTAATTTTTACTTTTCTGTGATTTATATTTCCTTAAATGTAAAAAAAATTATGATTTTAAGAGTGGACAGGCCTGTGACTATGGTGGAAATGACTCTGTGTGCCTTCCCAGGCTAGGTCACTAAAGGATATAGCTTTTACCTGGCTCTTTCTTTCTCTCTGGATGCTTGACTTTGAAACTCAGCCACTATGCTATGAGGAAGACAAAACTTGCCCATGCAAAGAGATCAACATGGAGAAGAAGAAGGTCTTCAGCTGACAGTCTGACATATGAGTGAGAACCCTCAGATCAGTATAGCACCAAGCCTTTGAATTCCCTCCCCTCACCATCAGCTAATGCCAAAGAGAGTAGAGGTGAGCTGTTTTGATTAAGCCCTGCCAAAATGGCAGATTCGTGAACAAAATAAATATTCATTGTCTTAAGCCACCAAGTGCTGGGCAGTCTGTTACGCAGCCTTAGTAATAAGAAAATTTTAGATCTAAAGCATGACTTATTAAAAAAAATATTTAGTATTTGAATTAGGTAATACCTGAAAAACATAAGGCTTCATAATATTTTTAAATTATAAAGTGTTATTGATCATTGCATGACCAGGGCTATCTGTAAATATCTACATGTGTCTACATGTATCTCCCTTCCTTTTTCCCTCCCTCTCTGCCTCCCTCCCTTCCTTCCTCCCCACTTTTATTCTTATTTATCTATCTACCTACCTACCTACTTACCTACCTACCTACCTACCTACCTATCTGTCTGTCTATCCATCTACTGTCTCCAAATTTTCATCCTCATACTTACTGGGCTTAATACCTGGGTGATGAAATAATATGTACAACAAACCCCCATGACACGTGTTTACATATGTAATAAACCTTCACATGTCCAAACCTAAAATAAAAGTTTTAAAAAGGGGGGAGAAAACAATAATCTCACTGAGTTGTGAGAAATAAATGAGATAATATGTTTGAAGGATAGAAATCAATTTATTTAAAATCATCTAAGAGAGGTGAAGACTAATAATGTTTAGTGTTCCAGTGATAAGGCAAATTGTAAACATTATAGATATAAAAATATATGCCCATTTCTCTTTGAAATTTCTCTCTCAGCTAGAAAGACTATAGATTGCAGGCTGGGTGCAGTGGCTCATGCCTGTAATCCTAGCACTTTGGGAGACCGAGGCAGGTGGATCTCCTGAGCACAGGAGTTTGAGACCAGCCTGGGTAACATGGTGAAACCGCGTCTCTACTAAAATACAAAAAAATTAGCTGAGAATGGTGGAGTGACCTGTATTCCCAGCTACTTGAGAGGCAGAGGCACAAGAATCGCTGGGAGACCCAGGAGGTGGAGGTTGCAGTGAGCCAAGAGCGCACCACTACTATCCAGCCTGGGTGACACAGCTAGACTCTTGTCTCCAAAAAAAAAAAAAAAAAAAAAAAAAAAAAAAAAAAGAGGAATGCTTGCTTGTACCTGAAAAGGCAGCAGAGAAAGAAACAGAAGTTTAGAATAATACATAGGAAAATAGACTTTCAATACCTCTCCCTTTTTATCAGATAATAGGGCTAAAATAACAAACACCAAAAACCTCAAATTCATGTATAGGGAGAAGATGGACTCAAGAGACTCTTAGCTTAAAATATCCTATTTATTATTCTTCACGCAACTTATACTTTTCTTTGATCTTCAATTTAATTCAGCCACTCTATATTCTTGGTATGTGCAAAGTCTACATTTTCCACTAGGGAGATGTTTATTTTTTCTTGCCAGATTGACAACTATTGCAAAGCACAAACTAATAGCAGTAGTAATACACTAGTACATTTCAAATGCCACAAGGATTACAAAAAGCAAATTTACATTTTACTTTCTTACTCAAACTTGCATTCGATGCCACTCCCCCATTGATTCCACTTAATAATTATTTAAATTAATGCTAAACATAGCTGACTGACCAATGTATGAAAAACACACATATTTTTGTTGATAAAAGTTTTACCAAAATCTTCCGTAGCACGTATAAAATGAAAACAATTCCTTTAATAAGAAAATTATTTATTTTCATTTTGCAGCTTTACAGTTCTGTTCCTTTAGAGTTCTGTCAACCCTTTTTTTTTTTTCTCCTGGTGAAATCTTAGAACCATGGCTTTACATTTCAGGAATGCTTTTCCTGGTTCATTTGATATTTTTTATGAGTTCATTTCTTTTGTCTATCTATGGTTATGAAAATAAGACAAATTTATGGAAATCACAAAGGGAAAGAAGGAAAAATTCACAAAATTCTCTGGGCCTTTAATTAATGATTTATCCAACTGTGCTTTTTTCCCGTTTAGTTAACATTTGGTTAAGTATGAATTGGGGAGTTCTCATGCTCTATCTCTCTCATGTAGTTCATTGAAAGTACATAATGATACTGTTTAATGTGGCTGGAGACCTTAGAAGTTGATGTTACATGCATATTAAATATGCATGAATATGTTTCTGACACTATGGTATGGTCTAAAAAACTGTACAGTCAGAGCAGTACTCACCCACCAGGAGGTGGTGCACTTTACAAATATCAGTTGTCATATTATGTTTCTTAGAAAGAAGAAAATAATGTCTCAGAAGGTTTTAGCACTTCTAAAAGCCACCTAAACTTTATTTAAATGTGAATTCTCTTCTTCTTAGTGGGAGGTTGAATTAAATCTAAAATATTTAAATTTCATCAATAATTCTAAATATTACCTATTAAACCAGATATCTAGGTCTAAATTTGAGTTTAATGTTTTTATTTGTTCTATATTTTTTTATTCTTAGAAAAGTTTCCCTTATCTCACATGCACTTTTGTTTATGTGCATATTTCCTGGTTGAGTCATACTGTTAGATTTTAAAAGTATTTTTAAAAGTAATTTAAAATGCTCAAGGGCAAATATAGGCTATTGGTACAACATCCATGCTACTTGAAGTTCTACATGATTATATGAACATTTTGAGAGGAAAAGGTTTATAACTTACAAGGTGGAAAGCATTTGTTAGCTAATGATTATCCTAATGACATTAAAAGTTCTATCTTTAATAGATACTAGTAACCTAGTTTTGATGATGCCAGTAGTGCAACTTCTTTCTCTCTTTGTTACTTAAAATAAATTAACATAAGAAAAAGTATACCTTCCTGATGTTCATAAAATAACTTGTGGATCTAAATGCTCTTTTGGATTCCTAGGGGATTCTGTTCTAGTTGAGGATGGTACCTATGAAAAAGCTGACATATATTAATTAATAAGTTCCATGATTTCCAAATTAGAACAAAGTTTTGAAGTTACACTAATAAGGAGTTAACTTAAAAACCTAGTCAGGTTGCAAGGGTAATAAAGGCCAAGATCATTAAAACAGATAGCAATAAGATAAAAAGATGATAGCCCCCATCAAAAAGAACAAAAACACAAGTTCACACTTTTTACCCCCTACTTTGACTATTATCCCCAGTCAATTCACTTTTAAAATGATGCTAGAAGGGTCAGAGAAACATAATTTTCCTTTGACATCCCAAAGGCACAACCTGAAGCTTTCTACCTTCAGGGGCATTTGTAACTTTGGCATATACATTTCTCCAAAAAGTGTATGTCTTCTTGACATCAGTTGGCCCTCTTGCCAGTACTTTTGCTTGATGCCAGCTTCCCTCTTAGCTTGCATAGCTATAAATTTCCAAGTGACAGGCTGTAAAGGGAGATCCCTGCTTTGTAGTCTCATTAATGAATTAGAAGATGCAAATATAAGACTTCTTACCTTGAACTGACAGACGCAAGTCACAGTGTCTCCAATTCTTAAACATTCCCCATCAAATTTACAGGTGTTGGTGTCACAGAGGAAGAGATCATTTTCTCTGTCATCATAACCTCAAATTTAAAGAGAACACTCCAGTCATTAAAACATGTTACAGATTTTTAACAAAAAACACTATCCTGAAGCTTTAAAATACTTGTCCTAAATTTTAAATCCAACAACTATAGCCGTACTGCAAGGTCACTGTCTACTGATAACCTCAAAATCTAGTTAAGTGATCAATATTCATTTCCACTTTTCACAATTCTTTTCTAGTCAATTCTCCTTTAATATCCTTTTCTGACAGTGCTATTTTTTAAGGCTTCATTAATACTGACAGTGGTGCTTAACATTTGCTTCCTGGTTTTTGTTGTTGTTGTTTTTTGTTTTGCTCATTAGGTGGACAATATTTATGACCACAAAACTCCACATTTTGGAAAAGAGCTAGTGATGATCTCTGAATGCCCTTTTATCACTTCCCCATCTTTAATTGTTCTTTTGCTTCAAGGACTGAAACAAACCCTTATTTGAAATTTATCCAGACAAAGAGGAAACAAAGCCTCAATAATAAAGATAAACAGGCACAGTGTTTTCTGTGATGGTCTGTTTGGCTCAAATGAAGATTGATCACCTCTAAGTTAACAGGGGTGGGAGCGGGGTGCCAAGTTCTTGACAACCTATCTGCAAAACCAGTTTGTTCTCTTTAGTTTATGCCATCCCCTTTAAAATATCTGGCAAATATTGAATTTCTTGATTGCAAATGTCAACTTCACATTCAAGTTAGTTATTTCCTAAAACAATGCAAGGGCTAGGAATGAAGCAAACCAGTCTGTGTTGGACTACAAAGCCATCAACATTTCCAAAAACTGATTTTGCAGACTCATAATTATTACTAAAATAAAGCATCTAAAAAGTGATTAGGCAAAGCAAAGTGAAACTTATTCTTTCAAAAACAACACACATGTATGCATGAATCAAGAAGTTACAGAAACATGTTGAGTTTTATTAAAATGCCAAATTCAGAAACTGCCAAAAAAACAGAACAATCTATTGACCCAAATCTAATAGGGTTGCAAATCTCAACTTGTCTTTGTAAAGGATAAATTAGAAGGATGCATAATAATTTTCCTTTTGGCATTTACAGTAGTAATAACTAGGAACTATACAGGCTTTCACCCTATGAGTTACAGTTGGTCATTCCCTCCTCTCTAAAGTTACATACACTTCAGCTCACATACATCCTTAAAGCCACTTTATTCACAGCCAGATTTAACTACAGCAAAATTGTATTTACAGAAGATGAAAAATTACATACACACTTGCTAAAACTAGAACAGACCACACCTAGGGGACAATACCCAGGCATGTTAACGGAGTTTAAAATGCCAAGGAAATTACACCACAATTCTGCCCAGTATACTACAGGCTGTCAAACCGAAATGCTATGCCAGCTAGGAGTGCAGCAACTCCCATCCTCTGGCCCTATTTAATTAGGAAGCTTCAGCAGAGCGAAGCCTGCCAAGCTCTTGCCGTCAGAATCTGAAGGAACCCAAGCGAGCAAGAAGAGTGCCTGACCCACTCCACGGAAGCCTGTCCAGAAATGGAGGAGTCAGCGCCCACTGAGGTCGGTTCCGCCCTCGGCTAGCCTACACGGAACCTGACCAGCCTCAGTTATGCCCACTCCAGCCTGGGAGACCCGCAAAGTGTTCTTTTTCTCAACTTCCCTCTACTAGGGTAGAGGGAAGGCTTAGGGAAGCAAGAGAGGGGCATAACTGGAATGCAAAACCAATGTTTTTTGTCGCCTAGGAGAGAAGGGGGGAGAGAGAGAGAGAGAGAGAGAGAGAGAGAGAGAGAGAGAGAGAGAGATGGAGAGAGAGAGAGTAATTGATTACATTGAAAACCAGCTCCTCTAGAATCTGTGTGACCTGGTCTTGAATGGGAGACCAGTGCGCCCTCATGGCACCTTTGCCAGGAATCAGCGATTCCCCTGCAGTCACCATTTGATTTATTGCTTTCTCGCTCATTCTTTCTCATAAAGTTATTTCTTCCTCATCCTAGTAAGACTTTCTTCTTTAATGATGACAAAGCTTCTCTTCTTGTGTTTCCCCTGGGATTGGTGTTCTTTCCAGTGAACCCAGAAAACCATCCCGTTTAATATTTCTCAAAATTCTCTCAGCTCCAATGTAAGCGCAAGCATGCAAAGGTTTCCTGCTACACCTGCACTTTCTACCCATCCCAGAACTACCCCCCACCCCCGGGCCTGGAACAGTTCTCCGTGTTTCTCTGGATAGAGGTAGGTGGTCTTAGGAGTCTAGAGCAGTAGGAGGTGAGGGGCTGAGGAGGCGCGCTAGGGTAGGCTGGTCTGTGCTGGATACGCGTGTTCTTCTGTGGGGTTAAGGGGTCGGGGACGGGGGTTCTGGACTTACCAGAGCAATTCCAGCCGGTGGGCGTTTGGCAGTCACTTAAGGAGGTAGGGAAAGCAGCGAGCTTCACCGGGCGGGCTACGATGAGTAGCATGACGGGCAGCAGCAGCAGCCAGCAAAAGCCCTCGCAAAGTGTCCAGCTGCTGCACTGCCGCGGGGACTCCCACAGCACCATGACTAGTTCGCGCAACTCTGCAGCAGCAAACGGCTTCCGAGGAACACAGGATCGCGGGGGCCGGGCAGCGGACTACTGAGCATCCCGCGGACGGCGGCAGCAGAAGCGGCGGCGGTGGCAGTGGCACCCGGCGGGGAAGCAGCAGCGAAACCCGCGCATGATCTCGAGAGTTTCAGCAACATCCAGGGACTGGGCTCAGCCCCGGGAGCGAGAGGGTCGTCTGCTGAGAAGCTGTGCGGGAGACGCGGGAAGCTGCTGCCATAAGGAGGGAACTCTGGGAAGCCGGGGGACAGGAGGAGACGGGAGTCCAGGGGCAGAGGAGCCGAGCCCGAGGAGGCAGGGTGGAGGGAGAGTCAAGGCGCCCCGCAGCCCGGCAGCCGCCTATCAAGCTCTGCCGCCCGCATCCCTCTGGCGTTTGGGAAGCAGCAGGTCCTCAGCCCGCCCGGGGTCACGTGGGAAGAGGCAGTCGGACTCTGATTGGTGGAGCAGGATGCAGGTCCCGGGAGGGAGGGGTCGACGAGGAGGTGCAAGGATGCAAGGAGGAGGCGGCCGCGGAAGCCACAGATGGGCTCGCTCGCCGGGCGCCGGCCCGAGTGGGGCTAGGCGGGGCTGGCTCAAGTGAGAAGCTCGGGCTTCAGGGTGGGCTACCCGCATACTCATATACCACTCGCCTCACTCTCCGCTCCAGGACGCCCCCTACCGAGGGCGGGGTGCGGACTAGCGCCCCTCGTCCGCGCGTGACCCGGGGCAGCGAGCGCCGGCCGCGGCTGGGAGGCGTCTCTCCGAGCTGGAGATGGTGGGGGCGGAGGTGTCATAGGAGCAGCATCAGCAGGGCAGAGAGGGGCGAGCTGGCGCGGGAGAGGGCGTCCTGCTGGCGCCCGGTGCTCCAGCGTGCGGGAGCGCGCCGCCTGGGTTGTAGGGGGATGCAGGCTGAGAATGTCGCGGCGGAGAGGCCAGGAACGTTTTTCTAGGGATGTGCAGGGAGGAGAGGGTGAGAGGCGATGGTGTTAGAACTGCTCTGGCCGGCCTGGAAGCAGCAGCAGCATCTCCCACAAGAGCCTGCAACCCCAAGGCTGCTCCCCGAGCCAGCTCAGCCATCCCGGCAGGCGCTCTCCTTCCTTCTCTCTTCTCCCCTCTGTCTTCCCAGGCCCCCCGCAGCTCCGACCCAGCCCGAGCAGCCGCAGGTTTGAATCCCTCTCTCCATCACCCGCTCCTCTCCAGCCCGTAGCCTATTCGTGTGTCCACCTGGGAGGTGCGGTCAGATGTGTTTGGAAGGTCAGATTTGGGCGGGACAAGTGGTCTGAGAGGAAGAGAAAGGCTCCTCCGCATACGCCGCGGGTGGGTTGCCGGGAGCATCCGCCGGGAAGCCGCGTCCCGGAAGGGGAGAGTGGGCTCCGTTTTTTGGCTCAGGCAGTGGCCCTGCGTGTCTTACGCGCCTTTGCCGGATGGCCGGTGACCTGGGGCGACGAGAGAAGGTCTAACTCGGCAGGAGTCTCTGGCTCTGCGCGTTTCTTTCCTTCGCTCCAGCGGGCACAGGGCAAACGGCATAGCGGGACCCGCCTTCCGCCTGCTGCATTCTTCAGGCAGTTAGACACAGTGTTTAGCCTAATGGAATTTTTGTGGCCAGTAACGGGACCGAGAGCTTTCCGGGACAAGGATGGAGAGGAGCATCTTTCTTCCGTGACCGGGGTCACTATTGCAGTCTCAGTGTTTTGGAGGCCCCACAGGGAAGAGTTTTCTTTTTTGTGTGTGATTATTCAGTGATTCCTGGTTTTTTTTTCTTCCTTCTCTCCGCTCTCCTTCTCTATTCCTCTCTTTTATTCTTCCTCCTTCTTCTCCCCCAGTTTTCAAAAGCCTCCAGATCCTCCCTTTTTCTCTGTATTTAAATTTTCCTTTTTGTGCCCCTCTTTCTGTGTCCTCTGAATTTAGGAGAGCATTTGATAACATTTAACAGGCAATTAGTGTCCATTCCCAATCACTTAAAAGAGGCATTAACATACTTTGAAAACGGGACTATCTATCCTTTGCAGACACCACCAGAAAAACAAATTGTACCCGAGTAATCCTTTTAAGTACTTTAACCTCCAACCTCCTCCCACTTCCTCGCTTTTTAACTTCTCCTTTGAGAGATGTGATCGTGCAGCACCTCAGTGCCTCAAAGAAATCTCCTTTTTTTTCCTGTGTGAAATCCATCCCTTTATCTTACATCTCCGCCTCCGTCCGAGACTGTCCCCTTCCCCTCCCACCTCCAAAGATTTCTGAATCTCAGTGTCTGTCACTCCTGGCAATTAAGCAGCAGATCCCAGCATTCTAGTCGGTGGCATCTCGCTCCTCACCGACGAAGACTCCATTAAAACAGATCAATTTGACCAGACGTTGGAGGCATCAGAAAATCGGCTTCTAGACAGAGCAGCTAAATTCTTTAAGGAAACGGAATACCCATTAGATAGAACTGCCAACTAATATTGCAAAACAAGGAATTAGAGATTTCTTTCGCTACAGGCTTTCGGCAGAGAAGGAAACATAAATATAGATCAAGATTTAACGACTCTACAGCACAGAGCGAGAACATGTCATTTTCCATAGCAAAGATGGTGTGGTAACTAATCAAGCTTATGAAAATAAGTCATGCTTGAAACTAAAGGCAAAGTCCTTAAATGTGTTTATGCAGTAATTACGATAATGAAACAGGACCTGCTAGGATTTCAGAGCTTGGCTATATAAGTAGAATTTTACAGAACCTCTTAGCAGAGGAAAACTCTTTTTGAAAATTTTTGGCATACTTTCTAATAATATATACTCTTCCTAAGACGTTTTGCCGAAAGTAAGTTAAAACTCCAAAGGAGTTAATTACTGGTTGTGACTGGTTAACAAAAGCAGTTGCTTCCACAGAGGTCCTTTAAATTATTAAACAGTTTGAAGCAAAGCCTTTTCAATGGGAATGCTGCAATTTTATTGCACTTAGTATGTACTTAGTGTTATAGTGCCACCAAGAAACAAATTCTGAAACTGGCAAGCACCACCAAGTGGCAGAAGAACATCACTCATTGAGCAGAGAATTGTATTATTGAATATGTAAATAAAAATATATACATTATTTAGACTCGTCACTAGGTAACAAACAAGTACACAAGACTGCATTAGCAATTGGATTAGTGCTTTAACTTTTCCCCAACAAGGTGAAATCGGTTTACATATTAGAATTAAATTTAAGTTTATGAATTGTACTTTGTATTGTGTATTATATGATTACTAGTAATACGACACAAACATACCATGCATTTGCAAAATTGTTATTTTAAAATACTATACTATATTTATTTTCAATCTTCTTGAGCTAGAATACTTTATTTGTGGCATACACACTCTAGAATTGATGCAGAGGGGTAGAGTCCAGTTGTTAGATTTTTCAGTAGAAATAGCTCAGAGATATTTTCTCCAGAAAACTTAAAAACATTTTTTTTTTTCTCATGGAAAGAACATCAATATAAAGGGTGAGATTACTCACAGCTTAAGTGGGGGGTTTGGAAGTTATTGTTCAACAAGAATAGTTTAAGATAAATAAATGAACCTGGGAAAATAAGATACACTGCCAGTCAGAACTCTACCTCCTTCATGATTTCGTACATTCTGATTGTTTCAATAAGGGTAAGATGTATCCTTTGCTTCTTAGGTGTCAGGCATTGTGCCATGGAGGATATAACATGTTATTTTTATTTAATCTTTAAAACACCCCTATGAGGCAAAGAATATTGTTATCTCATTTTACAGAAAAGGAATATGGCTTTGAAAGCATCAGGCAATTTGCCCCATGAAACAAATCTAGTCAGTGACACTGCTGGGACTCTGTGAAATTCTGCCTGACTTCAGAGCACAAGACAATAAGTCACTAATTTCTTCTGTATTGCTGCCTGTTAGCTTCTGAGAGAGGAAGCTAACTGGGAACGTATCAGTTCTGTCCATGATACTTCTTTGTCTGCCCTTTCTGTGGAGCAGCAGTAAGGCCCAAATGTTAATTCTGAAACTTCAGCAATAAGATCCAGTGATTTCTGAACCTGGTTGATCATATGAATACCGTGAGAAACTCTGAAACAATAGACAAATTCCAAGTCCCACATTCAGGGATTCCGAAAATCTGGAGTTGGGCCCTGGGATCCATATTTTAATACTCATCCTTGTTGGAGAAGTAAGGTACTACCTATACCTATATGACAAACGAAAGGATACCTAGAGTTTTGCTCAGTTTTCACAGAGAGATTTCTAAGCCAGGTTAAAAGCTTATACTCAGTGTAAAGATGAGCTGTTGTACATGTCTATTGCTCTGTTTTTATGCATATGTTCACCAAATATGTATTAAGCTTCTAATATGTCTGACACAGTAACTTTGTGACTGTAGACAATATCCTCATTTGTAAAAATGTGAGTAATAACAATACCTGCCTCCTGGGCTTGTTCTAAAGATTAAAATAAAAATGTATGGTTCAACGGTAATGGATTTGGGGGATCCCCTATATAAAGAAGTGAATGGAGGTATGAGTAAATAAATAGATAAAGGTGTGTGTACTTATATTTATATACATAATTAAAAATAATTAAAGATGTACAAATTAAAGTAAATGAGTAAAATGCTCAGAATATGCAATACTGGATGGTGTTAATAATACAAATTGAAAAGAACTACCTTTACTAAGTCTTTTGAAGTATATGTTGATTATTGATAATGAAGTACAGTATAATTTCTGCCCCCAAACCTTAACATCTCACATTTAATAACTCATCTTATTTTCTAGCCTACTTTAGATACATAGATATGGATAGAATGTTCTAAATCATTATTTCCTTAGTTTTAATGTATAATATTCATATGAAAAGGTATATATCAGTATGTAGTAAATGTAATATAACATTGTTTATAAATAAAATGATACTGACAATGTTTCAGAGAAGTCATCTTCATTTCTGGATAATTTTTCAAACTGAGTATAATTAAATTTGCTATCTTTTCACCCTTTTCTACAATGGTAAATAACATAAACAATGAGCTGTGATTTAAAAAAATAATTTTATAATGTAAAAGTTTACATATGCCTTGTTGATTCCCATGCCCTTAATTAATTTTGGTAGTTTGAGTTTGTGATTTCAGTGCTGAAGAAAGTTTATTTCATCTTAGGGCAGTGGGGCTCAGTCATGATTTCACATCACAATCACCTAGAGAATTACAGGATACTGTTGCTGAGTTCCTATTTAAAGACTTGTAATCTCTAGAAGTGACACAGAAGCATTGGTATATATATATATTTTTAAAGTTTTCCTGGAGAAACACATAGCCATGATTGAGAACCACTGTCCTGGGGAAAGTAAGTGGCTATTTTCTCGTTACTCAAATAGCCAAGTTTCAGGAGGTAAAATA